CCTGGGCTCAGGCCCAGAGCCTGGTCCCCCGGCTGTGGCCTGGTGACGCCTGGATGGTCCTCCCGCATTCAGACCAGAGACAGACCCGACCCTCCCCCAGACCCCTGGCTGATCCAGGAGTTGGCCCCGGGGGTGCCCAGCGGGGGCCGCACCCGCAGCCCCTGAGAAGTCCATTTGCAAATACCCCGCGGTGCTGGCGAAGTGGTGAGAGATCACGGCTGCCAGACCGTGAATCCTTTCTCTGTTTAGGTCAAATTTTAACCAATTACAAAGCACAGCAGTATAGTTTAAGCTCGCGTGGTTGCTTTTTTTTTTTTTTATCGCTGTTGTTTTGTATTTTGTTTTCTGATGTTACTAGAGCCTGGGAAGATTGTTACCCTGTAGTCTAAGGAAAGTGTAAACGGGTTTCCTGGGAAATGAGCCTGGAATTTTCATTAGATTCTCATGGGGTTTTGTCACCACCAAAAGCAGATGCAGAAACACTGCTTTAAAACAAGGCTGTTTTCTCTGCCATCCCCAGGGCAGCTTCTCGGGCCCTTCTGTCCCTAACAAGGCCCCTTTAAACAGGCTAAATTCAAAAGGCTCTTTTCCCCCAGGTGTACTTCGACCTGCGGATTGGCGATGAAGACATAGGCCGGGTGGTCATAGGTCTCTTTGGAAAGACTGTTCCAAAAACAGTGGATAATTTTGTGGCCTTAGCTACGGGAGAGGTAAGTGGCTAGAGCAGAAGGAGTCAGATTCAAACCGACTGAAGTTGGCAAGTAACGCTGGCAGCAAACAGCTCAGAGCGTGGCTCTCAGTACCAACTAACTGTTGCCGTGTTGGCAAGGGGAGCCCAGTATTATGTCTTGAGTTTTTAAAAATGAGTCCAGAAATCTGGGTTTTTCTTTTTAAAATTTATTTTTTCAATACATTTTTATTGATTTCAGAGAGGAGAGGGAGAGAGAAACATCAATGATGAGAGAGCATCATTGATCGCCTGCCTCCTACATGCCCCCTACTGGGCATCGAGTCCACAACCCAGGCATGTGCCCTGACTGGGAATCAAACCGTGATCTCCTCCTGGTTCACAGGTCGATGCTCAAACTCGGAGCCACACCTGCTGGGCATGGATTTTTCATTTTGAGAAAATTTCTCTCTCGGGCATTGCAATAACCAAAGAAGGCGTGTCTGTGGAAACTATAGTTTGTGGCTGCAGCACCAGAGCTTTCTCTTAAGAGTAGGGGCCCAGAGTGTCCCAGGTTTTAAGAAAACCGGAGTGCCCCATTTAAGAAAGTTTATATTCCAACTTTCCATTGGGTCAGCAGGTAACCTTTTCTGGGGGTCAGTTTTCTTGCATCCGTTCTTATAATTAGGAAAAAACGAGAGGGAAACGGCAGAGGCATTGTGTGAAGCAGAATTACATGAAGCCTGGGAAAGGTGGAAGGCGGAAGAATGCAGGCTAGCCCCTCCTGGCTCTGTGTGCTCCGAGCCTGCTTGTGGTCACTGCTGGCTCCGCAGCACATTGAACGATGACTGGCCAGCAGTGATGTCTCTTCTATGATCAGGAGTCATTGTGGGCTGTGTTCCTGCAGGGTCTGTTTCATGTCTGCCTGGTGCCTTGTGCCACCTCCTCACTTTCTCATCCCATTTCCTAGAAAGGATTTGGCTACAAAGACAGCAAATTCCATCGTGTGATCAAGGACTTCATGATCCAGGGCGGAGACTTCACTCGGGGAGATGGCACTGGAGGTAACCCGGGTCCTGTGGGCAGAGGGCTGGGGTCCCTTCCTTCCCCAGCTCTGGAGGCAGGCCTGTCACCTGCATGGAGACCAGCTGTACAGGGAACCCAGTACAAAGAAGAGGGAGTAGTGGGGGGTCAGTGGACATAAGAGGTAGACTTGCTGGTCTAGGCCTTGGTGACTTCTCGCAGTACCTTGTGGTGGGAGGGGAGCAAAGTCAAACGTAGGTGATCCTAGGTCAGGCATGCAAAGCCTGTGTGGGCAACCTCGGGAGCCCCAGCGAGGGTGGGCAGAGCTACTTTTCTTTCTTTTAAAAAAAAAAATATATTTTATTGATTTTTTACACAGAGGTAGGGAGAGGAATAGAGAGTTAGAAACATCGATGAGAGAGAAACATCGATCAGCTGCCTCCTGCACACTCCCTACTGGGGATGTGCCCGCAACCAAGGTACATGCCCTTGACCGGGATTGAACCTGGGACCTTTCAGTTCACAGGCCGACACTCTATTCACTGAGCCAAACCCGTTAGGGCCAGAGTTGCTTTTCTTGGCAGTCTCCTACCAGAGACCATTTGGCAAGAGCTGACTGGGTCTCTCCTCTGCATTGCTTGTGAACAGGACAGACAGACACCCTGGACTAACCCACAGGTCTCACCATTCTTGGGTGAATAGCCTGCTCCTCCCTCAGGCTGCATCTGCAGCTCAGCCCATCAATGAGTGTCTATTGGGCCAGGCTCTGGTGGGTGCTGAGGACACAAAAATCAGCGCGGCAGCAATTCCCTTTCACTTCCAATACCTGAACACTCATAAACTGGCCCTAATCCCGCCTTTAGGACTCAGGCTCTGTCCTCAAGTTATCATCTCGGTGGAAATAATTAGGAGAAAGCCTGGGCAGGCAAGCCAGGCAAACAGTACAAGACATAAGTAGCTGGCAGCAGGTAGCAGTGGACATGGCCAGGCAGACACAATCCAAAGTGATGTGTTCCTGGAGTCAGATACAGTTGGGTGTGGCCCGGTGTCTGCCACCTTCTTGCTTTCGACCTTGCAAGTGAGTTGTCTGGCTTAGTTTCCTCTTGTGTAAAGTGAGAGCGGTAAGAGTTATGGGTGCTGTGAGGGTTGGGTGAGATCTTGAGTGTAAGTTCCCAGTGCGTGGTAAGTAACGTCAGCCATTGCCGGAGTGCTGACAAGTGCCGAGGCCTGCATGGAGGGAGTCACTTGGGGCCAAGGTTATCGGTAAATGGCCTTGTGACTGTGAGGAAAGATTTGAGCAGGATCCTGTTTGGGGAGAATATGAATGGGCAGAGAAGAGGCACGATTAAGTTGTGGACCCAGCTATGTTCGGCAGCAGGAACTTTGCCAAAGGTGGGGTCAGGGAATGAAGTAGAGCACACTGCTTTGTCCTACCTGGAAGCTCTGCTGAATACCTGAGGGGGCGGGGTGGGGGGGTGGAGAATGGTCTCAACGGAGTTTGAGGGAAAGTAGTATGGCAGCAGGACTCAGGCTGGTCAGGGGGCCGGTGTAGCTGTGCCTGTGGGGCGATGTGGGCTGGAACCCAGGCAGGATGGCCTTATGGGCAAGGGCAGAGATTCCAGGACCAGACCCTCTGTGGTTCGAGTTGCAGCTCTGCTGCTTCCTAGCTTGGGTACCTTTAACCTCTCTGTACCTCAATTTCTTCACCTTTGAAATATGGTTATTGGATCCTGCCTCATAGGAGGAGGTTTTTATGTATAAAATGCTTGCCACGGTTCTCTGGCAAGGTTACTTACCACTCTGAGCAGTAGCCATTTTTGCCATGGGAGCAGCAGAAATAGTAAGAAAGAATGAACAAATGATGGGGGGGGGGGCGCGGGGGACAACAGTAAGCAGAGGAAAAGTTGGCAAACAAATTAACTGATGTCCAGAGGGAGAGATTACTAAGTATGTTGAGGTTAACACGCAGAACTGTCCCTTTAAGTTTGGAACTCCTCGTATCTTGGGAAAGCGATTGGAGCGGGGGTGTGGATTTGTGGATTGTCCGGATAGCAGCAGCAATTGAAATCCTGATTTACAGAGGATTCTCACACGGGGAGGCTTTAGCTGGCAGCCCAGCCAGGAGTCATGGCACAGCAGTGGGAGAGACCAGTTCATTTGGGTGTGGGACTGAGAAGTGGGGCACAGGCTGGGACATGCCCGCCCCCACCCGCCAGTCTAGATTCTTGGTTTTCAGTCTTTTCCAACCTGTTACCCAAGCATGTCAAACGTGGGGCCCGTCGACCGCGAACTTGCCATGCTTGTATCACACAATCAGAAGCATCTCCCTGATTAGCATCAGTCTAGGAAATTTCCCCACCTGGTTCCATTCTGTGGAACCACAAGGTGAAAATAGTTGTATTAAAGAGGAAAAAAAGGTTTTGAAAAGTATTGAGTAAAACAAAATGAAAATTACTTTATTGCTGGGTTTCTCGGGGCCTCTGGTTCACTAGTTCACAGTGTGAATCTCTAGGAGATGGAAGAAGAGGTAGTATTTCCCCTATATCTTAGGATCTCTGAAACTGTCTGCTCTCGGCCCTCTTTGTCATGTCTCCTGTCCCCTTATGGAGGGACACTTACATATATTCATTGCACCTTTTATTTTCTGTTCATTCGATAAGAGGCTCTAGACCAGTGATGGCGAACCTTTTGAGCCCGGCGTGTCAGCATTTTGAAAAACCCTAACTTAACTCTGGTGCCGTGTCACATATAGAAATTTTTTGATATTTGCAACCATAGTAAAACAAAGACTTATATTTTTGATATTTATTTTATATATTTAAATGCCATTTAACAAAGAAAAATCAACCAAAAAAATGAGTTCATGTGTCACCTCTGACACGCGTGTCATAGGTTCGTCATCACTGCTCTAGACCAAGCATGTCAAACTCACGTGTGGCCCGCAACGAATATTTTTGCAGCCCAGCCAGTATAATGGTGTGAGCAGTTATTTACAATTATGAAATTTCAGTCTCCTGTCAGATACAGAATTACCTTGGGTCAGTTTTGAAAGTAATCACTGTGAACAAGATTTCCCCCGAAGTAGGAGATAGTAGCAGAGAAGAGATGCCAAGTGTCAGGAAGAAAATATTAATTTTACCATTGCTCTTGTTTTTTTTCTACTATACTTTTCAAAATAAACCCACGTTTCTATGAAAAATGAAATTTTGGTTTTTTTGTGGCCCACATAAACTTAAACCTTATTTGACCCGTGTTAGCCTCTGAGTTTGACATGCTTGCTCTAGACCAGTGGTCGGCAAACTCATTAGTCAGCAGAGCCAAATATCAACAGCACAACGACTGAAATTTCTTTTGAGAGCCAAATTTTTTAAACTTAAACTATATAGGTAGGTACATTGTTATTAACTTAATTAGGGTACTCCTAAGGCTTAGGAAGAGCCACACTCAAGGGGCCAAAGAGCCGCATGTGGCTCGCAAGCCGCAGTTTGCCGGCCACTGCTCTAGACTTTCCAGAATCCAAATGACAGCTGCTTCCGAGTCTTCTGTGCTCTCTGGAAGAAACGCTGGTCAGCCACGGCATTCCTCTCCTGGAAGGTTCTTACCTCTCCTGCCCCAGTATCCTGCAGTCCCCTCCACCCAGATCCTGCCATGCAGCCTGGGGCCATCGCCAAGGCTAGTTGTTAACATGGGCCTTATTTAACAGCCATAAACTACATTCTCAGAGTAATCATTCATGTGAGCTAGTCCCTAAATCGGCCTGGCCTCGTGCCCCACTTGGTCGGTCAGCATGGTTTAGTTCCAAAGGCCAGAGGGTAGGAAGAAGACAGCTCTAATACCCCTGTACTCTACTTGAGCCTGGCCTGACACAGGACAAGTTGAGGCCCCAAAGATCTGCTGAGTTTGTGCCAACCCAGGTTCCCTGACCTGCTCTGTCTTTCTTCCCAGGTAAGAGCATCTACGGTGAACGCTTCCCTGATGAGAACTTCAAGCTGAAACACTATGGGCCCGGCTGGGTGAGCATGGCCAATGCTGGCAAAGACACCAATGGCTCCCAGTTCTTTATCACCACAGTCAAGACAGCCTGGCTGGATGGCAAGCATGTGGTGTTTGGCAAAGTTCTAGAGGGCATGGTGAGTTTTGGAGATGGGGGCTAAACGTGGGCAACCCTCACCAGGAATAGGACAGACCTTGGGGGCAGGGCAACCTGTATTTTACCCTTTCCCACAGGGGAACCCACAGATTCAGACGAGTGTTTGTGTCTGTAAACCTGGGGGATTTAAGACTAGCCTGCCTCTCTATGCTCCCAGTCCTGAATCCTAGGTCCCAGGCAGAGGTCAGCCAGGCCTTGTTGAGGTTGTACCACTGCAGGGACCTCCCCATACCATTGCTGAGAGTGGGATGTGGCGGCACTACCCAGAGGTGTACAGGGCCCTTGGTACCCACTCCCCAGCCACCCTCCTCACCCTCCGCTCAACCTGGGTCTTGCTTCAGAGGATCAAACTGCTGCATCCTCTTGTCAGAACTGGGTTCTCCCTGTCCTGGGCTGACACCTGGCCAGGATTCTAGGATATTGGTGCCTTGAGGTTTGTAGGCTGTTCGTCACGTGAGAGACTCAGTCCTCCCTGGCCATGCACCGGGGCCTGTCTCCCTTGAGTGGCAGATCTCCTGACCCACCCTGCCTTCCTGCTTCTGCCCTTTCTCCCCAGGAAGTAGTACGGAAGGTGGAGAGCACCAAGACGGATGGTCGGGACAAGCCCCTGAAGGATGTGATCATTGCAGACTGTGGCAAGATCGAGGTGGAAAAGCCCTTTGCCATTGCCAAGGAGTAGGGCCCCAGGGACAGCTTCCTCTTGAGCGACTGTTTGGGCCTGTTGCCCTCTCGGGGGGAGTGAAGACAGCCCTCCACCGGGCTCTGCTGCACCAGCCCTAGTGCGGATGTCTGACAGAGCGGACCCGCCCCTCACATTCCACAGGCCCAGTTTTGTAACAAACTTCTACCATCACTGACCAATTAAAAAAATAAGGTGGGTTTTTTTATAACCTGTGTGTGGGCTTGGTTCTTGGGCCCGCAGCTTCTCTGTTCAAGTCTACGGCTCAGCCTGGGACTCTGAGGCAGTGGCTGCTTGTCCCCTCCTTGGGCTCCAGCCTGAACCCTTTCCCCAGATGCTACCACAGACTGTCAAGCTTTTGCTTCTTGCTTCTAAACTTTGCCAGCTCCCTCCCCCCCATGAAGGTGAAGAAATACACCTGTACCTTTTCATAGCCTACCTCCTAAATTGACTTCTCCCTTTATCCTCATCCTCTGTTGTCTCTACCCAGAGTGCAGGTCTATCACCCCAGCCACTGGTGCAGTTGGGTTCTGGGCCTGGGGTGGGTAGGTCCTGGGTCCAAGCCAAGGGGGACCCCGCCCCTGTCTCTTACAGGGCTCAAGGACAGAGGCACGTGACTGTCCTGGCAGGTGGTCCAAAGGCCTCTGGGTTGGTCAAGGCATTGGTGGCAAAGGTGCAGGGTGACAGGGAGCCTCCGGCTGGGTGTCAGCTGTGCTGGTGCTGAAGCTGTAGAAGCCCTGGAGCACGCCATTCACCACCACGTTGGGCAGAGGCTCTGGGACAAGGAAAACAGGAGGAAGGGGAATAGGTGTGGGACGGCCATGGCCTCAGGCCTGCAGCTCCCTGAGCCCCTGACAAGGCAGCAGTTAACAGCTGGTCACCTGAAATGAGACCTGGGCGTTCCCAGTTCACATTCTGTTCACATAAGCCAGGCTGATGGGGAATGCAGACCAGGGGAGCCACGTCTGCTGCACCGTGTCTGCTTCCGGAGGGGAATGCACAGGGCACAGCAGTGCAGGCAGGTCCGCAAGGAGGGCCATAGGAGGGAGCTGCTGCCGAGGGGTCCTGGGAGCTGAGAAATGACAAGCTCACCCCCACTCCCACCCTGATTCCTGCGCCCTAAATCTGGGTTATAGGTCAGAGGCACCCCCTCACCTGGGGATGAGATACAAATGTAGGGGTCCACGCAGAAGCTGATGACCGGCCGGTGGTACAGCTGCGAGCTAGGAGGAGAAAGGGTCTTAAGCAGTGGAGAGTGAGGTGGGGCAAAATCTCCTATCGGGTAAAGACTGGGAACTGAGATCACTAACAATCCACAAGGAAAAAGGTGAGTGGGCAGTGGTGTCAGGAGCGCCCACAGGAAAACCTGGGCCAGTAGGACGGGCAAGGCAAGCCAGGGGCCACAGACCAGCCTCACGGCCTATGGCCACCAGGGGGCAGCGGGTGCAGAAAGAGTCTTTAACTTGCCTGCTGTCGCTAGGCAGGAACTCCCCCAGGGCTCTGAAAAGAAGAAAGAGTGTGAACTGCCTGGGGATGCTCAGGGGAGCATGAGGAAGGGGTGGAGCAACGGAAGACCAGAGCTTCACCTCCCAGGGGGCCACTGCTTCTATTTGTAACAAGCCCAGTTCCGGTGGGTAACCAAGGCTGTACAGAAAATGGCCCCTTGCCCTGGCCGGTTTGGCTCCGTGGATAGAGTGTCCGCCTGCGGACTGATCAGTCGTGGCTTCAGTTACAGTCAAGGCAAGAAAACGGCCCCCTGCCAGGGTCAAGAGAGCTGGCAGATGAAGGTGGTCATGTCTCACCCCTGGCAGATGTGAGAGAGAACAGGACCCTGCCCGGAAGCCTTCACCTGCTTGCTGCAGAGCCCCCTTCCCCCAACACTGGGGCCTCTCATGCCAAGCCAGGCCCCTGGAGGCGCTCACTCACCCCCAGCTGCTGGCCTTGGGGTCTGTGGGGAAGTGCCGAAGACTCAGGAACTCCAGCAGCTCCTTGGGCACATCCCGGTTCAGGTACAAGATGCCCTGGAGAGGAGCACACAGGACCCCCGTCAGACACAGCCCAGTGCAAACTGACGGCACAGTCCTGCCAAAATGATCACAGAGTTCAAGACAGCTCGGCCCCTTCCCAACACGGCCCTGGCTGACTCCACAGGGATGTGCCCACGAGTCTCCCTGGCCTGGAATCTGGCATCCCTGTGTGGGGAGGAGGGAAAGGCCCACGTCCTCTCAGGAGGGCAGTGCGGGACCTCGCCCGGAGGGGAAAGGAACTAGCAGCAGGTGGCCCCAGTTCAATGAAAGTCCAAATTCAACGGAATCCAATTAATTTTCATTCTGAAATTACTGCTCAGAAAATTGAGGCTTGGGGTAGAAAAAATCATGCCCAAGATGTTGCCCCCGCACCCCATGCCCTCACACGTCTCTGGGTCACACCTAGTCCAGCAGGCTGGGGGCAACAGTGAGACCCATGCCCACCTGGATATAGGCCTCCAAGCCCTGCCGCCGCTGCTCCAATCCTCTGGTCCTCCAGTTGGGCAGGCGTTTCGAGGGGAATTCGGGCACCTTGTACAGTTTCTTCATCTGCGGTGCGGATCACAGTGTCCCCACTGAGCCCTTAAGCTCACTTCACCCAAGCAAAACCCCCCCCCCCCAGCATCCCACCCCCTCCGTATCCCCAAAACTTCAGGCTCTACCCTAGGATGGACACGGGTGAATGTGGTTGGAGCAGGGGCGAGAGAGGACCCAACAGCCGCGGACGCCCGAGGGTGGGCGCAGGGGCACGGAGAGCCCCAGCTGAGCCCTGCCCCTCTGG